CCCACACTCAACACCACTGCTTGAGCCCACACACCATCACAACACTACTGCTTGAGCCCACACACCATCACAACACTACTGCTTGAGCCCACACACCATCACAACACCACTGCTTGAGCCCACACACCATCACAACACCACTGCTTGAGCCCACACACCATCACAACACTACTGCTTGAGCCCACACACCATCACAACACTACTGCTTGAGCCCACACACCATCACAACACCACTGCTTGAGCCCACACACCATCACAACACCACTGCTTGAGCCCACACACCATCACAACACTACTGCTTGAGCCCACACACCATCACAACACCACTGCTTGAGCCCACACACCATCACAACACTACTGCTTGAGCCCACACACCATCACAACACCACTGCTTGAGCCCACACACCATCACAAACTATTATTGCCACAAACCAAGGGAACCACCACAATAAACATCAATATATATTGACGCGACATACACAAGTTTTCGAAAAGCGGTTCTTGTAACTGTAACTATTGAGTGACAGTTTTGACAGACAGACAGTTTTCCGCGTCCTTTCATTCTTTCTAATCCTTATAATAGACATAGTAGACCGTCTTTACGATTTGCAACTCCGTGCAAAATTGCAACTGATTTTCCTAACGTTTTTTTAATTTATTCCTAAATTTTTTCCTATTTTTTTTTAATTTAACTAATTTTTAATTTCCCGCCCCATTCGTCATGGACCTGTGGGTGACGTCACCAGTTCTCCATCTCTAAAATTACTGACCAGGTTTTCCTCTAATCATGTGGCGAGAGCTGCTGACATTCTCAGCTATGTAATATACGTGGAAGGAGACTCCACTAACGTCGCCAGCCGTGGCCACCACCACGCCCGTCACCACCAATCAAAACCGCACAAATTTATTCCAACCAGAATTCGTCATCAAATACCTTCCGTGCTTCAAGGTAAGGTAAGGTGCTTACTCAAAATTATAAGTTTATATCTAATTTACTGATATTATAAAATTTTGGGTCAATTCGAATCAGTGACACACCCGCGGAAGTATTGAAAAATTGCCAATTGGGATTTGGAAAGTGTGAGGAGGTAAATGACTAAATTACTACAGTCAGCCCGGAACCTGCCGACCGCGGGCCGCCATGTTGCCACTCTCCTCCCCAGACAGTCCCATCGTCAGAGATGGGGGGTGGAACGTACCCGTAAATCGATCAATTAGGAACTTAACAGACTCCTTATCGTTGATTTCTCTGAAAAAGGGGATTTTATTTTAGAGGGTGAGTGGATAAAGATGTACCGAGTTAGTTAATCAGGCGACGTTATATTTTTAACCAGGGGGTTGGCCGTTTATCACATAAAACTAACAATTGTCTTACTAGAAAATGGAAGCGGCTGGCGAAAGTGACGTACTGTCCCCGTTTTCTGTTTTGGGTCCTCTGGTAGGTTAGGAGAGACCACTTTAAACTGAGTTTTCTCTAGGTTGGGAGGACGGGTTGCCACGGAGGGACGAAGCCGCCCGTCCGGACATCGGAGACGAACAGCTGACTAATACACCTTCCTGTCATCTTCATAAACTTCTTAATCCAACTAAAAGACTGATGACGATAATAACTATAACCAACATAAACAAACGCCACCAATTAACACCTAACATAACTTCCGCTTTCCCAAACAAACCAAAAAATAATCAAACGAACAAATGCGTTGTTTATTTGTTTGCAACGCGCGCGCGCACGTCACAGACGCATATTCGCTGTTTGCTTACCTGTAATTCAAGACGTTAATGAATAAAAAGTGGGCAGAGGTGTGGGGGGGGGGGGGAAGGTGGGGGGAAGGGAAGAGGTATAGAATGACCATCTCTCACCTAGTTAACCCCCCCCCCTCCTCCCCCACACACTGTGTGTTTGTGTACTCACCTAGTTGTACTCACCTAGTTGTGTTTGCGGGGGTTGAGCTCTGGCTCTTTGGTCCCGCCTCTCAACCGTCAATCAACAGGTGTACAGATTCCTGAGCCTATTGGGCTCTATCATATCTACACTTGAAACTGTGTATGGAGTCAGCCTCCACCACATTGCTTCCTAATGCATTCCATTTGTCAACCACTCTGACACTAAAAAAGTTCTTTCTAATATCTCTGTGGCTCATTTGGGCACTCAGTTTCCACCTGTGTCCCCTTGTGCGTGTTCCCCTTGTGTTAAATAGACTGTCTTTATCTACCCTATCAATTCCTTTCAGAATCTTGAATGTGGTGATCATGTTCCCCCTAACTCTTCTGTCTTCCAGCGAAGTGAGGTTTAATTCCCGTAGTCTCTCCTCGTAGCTCATACCTCTCAGCTCGGGTACTAGTCTGGTGGCAAACCTTTGAACCTTTTCCAGTTTAGTCTTATCCTTGACTAGATATGGACTCCATGCTGGGGCTGCATACTCCAGTATTGGCCTGACATATGTGGTATACAAAGTTCTGAATGATTCTTTACACAAGTTTCTGAATGCCGTTCGTATGTTGGCCAGCCTGGCATATGCCGCTGATGTTATCCGCTTGATATGTGCTGCAGGAGACAGGTCTGGCGTGATATCAACTCCCAAGTCTTTTTCCTTCTCTGACTCCTGAAGAATTTCCTCTCCCAGATGATACCTTGTATCTGGCCTCCTGCTCCCTACACCTATCTTCATTACATTACATTTGGTTGGGTTAAACTCTAACATCCATTTGTTCGACCATTCCTTCAGCTTGTCTAGGTCTTCTTGAAGCCTCAAACAGTCCTCTTCTGTTTTAATCCTTCTCATAATTTTAGCATCGTCCGCAAACAATGAAAGATATGAATCGATACCCTCCGGGAGATCATTTACATATATCAGAAACAAGATAGGACCGAGTACAGAGCCCTGTGGGACTTCACTGGTGACTTCACGCCAATCGGAGGTCTCACCCCTCACCGTAACTCTCTGCTTCCTATTGCTTAGATACTCCCTTATCCACTGGAGCACCTTACCAGCTACACCTGCCTGTCTCTCCAGCTTATGTACCAGCCTCTTATGCGGTACTGTGTCAAAGGCTTTCCGACAATCCAAGAAAATGCAGTCCGCCCAGCCCTCTCTTTCTTGCTTAATCTTTGTCACCTGATCGTAGAATTCTATCAAGCCTGTAAGGCAAGATTTACCCTCCCTGAACCCATGTTGGCGATTTGTCACGAAGTCCCTCCTCTCCAGATGTGTTACCAGGTTTTTTCTCACGATCTTCTCCATCACCTTGCATGGTATACAAGTCAAGGACACTGGCCTGTAGTTCAGTGCCTCTTGCCTGTCGCCCTTTTTGTATATTGGGACCACATTCGCCGTCTTCCATATTTCTGGTAGGTCTCCCGTCTCCAGTGACTTACTATACACTATGGAGAGTGGCAAGCAAAGTGCCTCTGCACACTCTTTCAGTATCCATGGTGAGATCCCATCTGGACCAACAGCCTTTCTAACATCCAGATCCAGCAGGTGTCTCTTGACCTCCTCTCTCGTAATTTCGAACTCTTCTAAGGCCGCCTGGTTTACCTCCCTTTCTCCTAGCACAGTGACCTCACCTTGTGTGTGTGTGTGTGAGTGTGTGTGTTGATATCAGTTATATTATCAGGGAATCAGTATATCATTGATAAAAAAGCTGTCCGGATATACAGACTATACACATCTTAACACAGACAACTACTGTTTCTAACCAGGTACCCATTTACTGCTGAGTGAACAGAGGCGAACAGCTAAGGATTTGTGCCTAGTCAATCCTCCTATTTCTAGGACTCGAACTCAGACCAAAGAGCTAGCGAGGCAAGGGGCAAGTATGATACCATTTTGCCACCAGGGCCTGAGATGTAAACTTTGGACCCGACTTTCCCACACCACGAGTCAACACGGCTGGGCACTGACCATATGGACACACCAGGCAGGTGCCACTATAGGACCGGGCAGGTGCCACTATAGGACCGGGCAGGTGCCACTATAGGACCGGGCAGGTGCCAATATAGGACCGGGCATTTCCTAGTCCCACTTTCAATTTTATACAAACATAATTATGTTCTGAAGTTGTGGATACTTTAATGCATTACTTCAAGCACATTATTTAGACTTAAGAGTATTCACTTTACGGGAAGTAAAACAGCAGTCACTTCGTGTAGGAAGGTGTGGGCCAATATTGATCAATATAATCACCTTCAACGAATTAAAAAAGTAGACATGATATAATAAAATAAATTCATTAACAAGCAAAAACTGGTATGTGGCTAACTTAAGATACCTTAACAACTTCTTCTGACCAAGCTTTGAAGAGAGAGAGAGAGAGAGCGCAGAGGTGCCACAACCTCCTCCATTGGAAGCTAACGTGACTGTGCTCAACCAGGTCCCTGACTGTGCTGAACCAGGTCCCTGACTGTGCTGAACCAGGTCCCTGACAGAGGCACCTGGATCAACAAGTACCAAGCAGTCAAAAGAAACTATGCACTCATACCTGGATTATACCTGGCGGGGGTTGTGAGAGTTCTTCTACACCTCGTGTCCGGCCTAGGGCCAGCCTTAACATGTGATAACATGATCCAACAGACTGTTGCTAGGAGAGGACCTTAACAGTAAGGTCGAGACGCACATTCTAACAGTATTCATTTACCACACGGGTATGGAAGGAGACGGACGAGAGCTGTCTCCTAACATCTCGGGGGAAAACAGATTCCTCCAGCTCAGTTTACCGTTGTTAAGGAAAGAAGACGAGTATTAGGGTAATTGAAATGTTCCCCTTCACTCACTTACCTTATTCCTTTCACTCACTTACCTTAATGTGCCCATTAGGAAGGCTACACTTTCTGTTAAATAGTAGTGGCGTTTTCCTCATCAAATATGACCTCGGGCCGCGAGGACATTGGTCCCTGGAACCTTCACAAGGCAGTCGCAAAACCAGACCATTACGGAGAGACATTGCCCCAAAAAACCACACTATGGAAGGGCGAGAGACGGGAATGCTGTACTCACTTTGCCGAAAGTCCTGGCGTAGGTGCCGGTGAGGAGCGAGTGGAAGATGATGATGGTCTCGTCTAGGTCCCAGATGTACACCCGTTCCACCTTGTTCTCCGGGTCCGGCGACGGGTTGCTGCGGCGGGAGCGCCCGTTCCGCGACCTGGACGCTGTCAGGAGTAGACATGTGTTGTGTTAGCTGGGACGAGGCCCTCTCGTGGCTCTTGTTGGGACATTCTGGAGGGTTGTGTTAGTCAGGACGAGACCCTCTCGTGGCTCTTATTGGGACATTCTGGAGGTTAGTGTTGGGTTGAGTTTTGCAACCTGTCCTCAGGGAGGAGAGCCACTCAAGGAAATGGATTACCACATAATTACTGCTATTATCTACTCTCTATGCATGGTTAGGTTAGGATAAGGTTATTTTAGGTTAAGGCTTGGATTGGTTAGGTTAAGTTAGGCTTCATTACGTTTGGTTACGTTAATACGAGGTATCATTGACGATAATGTGATATATGGAATTTGAAAACTATTTCAGTCTGCTCGTGAATTCAGTTTACAGAAAACCAATTCATCAAAAGAAAACGTTTTCAGCATACACTTTTTATATTTTAAACTAACGATTTATATTACATTAACGTTATAACTTGAAAAATAATGTTTACGACAAAAGTTCATTTGCCAGTTTACATGTAGATTAGTACTGAAACTGTAATATGCTTTCAGACCATCACAATTATCTAGATAACTATCCAGATGGTTAGAATGGGGGGTGTGGCTTCTCATGGTAATGGATTTGGTCTGAGGACGGGCTCGTTCTGGTTGATGGGGTTCTGGGAGTTCTACTCCCCAAGCCCGGCCCGAGGCCAGGCTTGACTTGTGAAAGTTTGGTCCACTAGGCTGTTGCTTGCAGTTCTCTGAGGGCTTCTGTTACGACCTTCTGAGGGCTAGTTGGATAATAAGGGAGCCCATCCGGTTAGTTAGTACTAAATTGAGGTGAGTCGTAACTAGTTACACAGTTGTCAGCTAGTTACCGTCTGTAGCACAATACGTAGTCACAGGAGACAGCCTGTGAAGACGAGGAGTAACAACGGTAAAGCAAGGGGAAGAACGAATTATAAGAACTTAAGAAAAGAAGAAAACAATGAAGAATGAGGAGGAGGAAGAAGAGGAAGAAGAGGAGGAGGAGGAGGAGGAGGAGGAGGAAGAGCAAGAGGAAGAGGAGGAGGAGGATGAGGACGAGGGAGAGAAGAAGGAAGAATAAGAGCGGCCTATAATAACCAGGCCGAAGTAATAAAACCAATTATGGAAGAAGACCCGCCTGGTGCTTACACAGGTGGAGTTTTCTCCAGTGTAGTCAATCATGTTACCTTGGGCAGGGAGGAGTTATGCAACTAAGCGAACCCACTCTAGCGTCTGGAACATCACTGGGGATGAACCATGCCTTTATCCGGCCACAGGAGACGGCTAAAACGTTATCATTTTCCAAAATTCCGAGTAATCCGGATATCAACAAAAGCAAGTAGTAAACGCGGCCGTCAAGATCATCAAAAACCATGGACGCATAAAATATAATTTACAGTACATTTCGGGTTTGAAAGTAAATATATTTACTGAACAATAATAGGCTTACAAATGAACACTCGAAATGTGAATTTAAAAAAAAGGGAAGCTAAACAGGGCAGCCTCATCACCCTTCCTCAGTCATCAACAAACTTGTTCCTCGATGGTGAGGCTTCTTTGTAATCAGCAGAGGCCAGCAAAACGAAAATAAATACAAACTACTTATAAACCTTCGCCATCTCGTGATGAACCCGTTCACCAAACTTCATAACCAAATTAAGCTTAAAACAGCCGGTAGGAGTTTCAAGAACCTTTTACAACTAGGAAGCCATAGTGGATGTAAGCGTATCCTCCTTCAATATTCTCTTGACGGGGTGGTGGGTGGATGAGGGGCGGTTGGAGGATATTTGGAGCACAACTGATCGACCGGACGCTTAGCAAATTTGGCGGGAGAACACCAGATAGCATTATTAATATTGTTTTATTGATATAGTGCCGAGAGGCATACACGTATTTTGATGAAACTATTGCGTTGGTAGCTGGAGTGTTTGACTTAGCGCACCTTCCTGGTCTATTTTGAACTAGACCCGAGTTAGGAAGCCAGCTGAGATAAAAATGAATGGAGGATTACCTGAATAGTGTGGGGAAAAGGGGGAAGCATTGGACGGAAACGAAAGAGAGACGAGACAATATTAGAGTATTTAATACCAATTAAAAACATTAGCTTATACAAATCAACTTAAATCAGGCAACTGAAAATGTAAAGTAATTATTACTTTGTTTAATTACAAAATATTTATAGGTTTCATCCCAATGAAGTTCAAACCAACGACCTCAATTCTCCGAAAGACCCCCAAGTGGTTGAGTTATTGTTCTCGTGGCCTATAAATATTATGGAGAGCAAATGGCACCCAGTGGCACTAACAGGGAAGGTGTGGGGGCACTCACCTGTATCCTTGAGTGGTGACGCCGGGCTCTCGACGCCCTGGAAGCCGGTCGTATCTGTGTTGGGGAACAACAACAAAGTCAATCCAGTGACAATCATGAGGCTGCAGGAACACTCCTCCCTACCACCCCTCTCCACAACACCCATATCCCCCTAGTTAATGTGTATTACACCCTCTGTTTCCCAAGACACTCCGTGCCCAAATAACAGAAGCCAGGAGGAACACTTACTCTCCAGCGGGAGGGTGAGCTGGTAGGTGGTTGCTGTAGGGGTAGTGGGCGCCGCCGTCGGTAGCCCGGAGGACAGCCCGTTGGAGGCGGCCGCGGCCGCTGCTGCTGCTGCAGAGGAGGTGGGGGAGGCACTGGAGGAGCCCATGTAGCTGGGGTAGCCCTGGCCGTAGTAGTAGCTGCCCGCGGCGGCCGCTTGGCCCGCATACGCTGCAGAGTAGTAAGCAGAGTCCAGGCCCTGCTGGGGAGGGGAGTGACCGGCTTGGATTAGTGCTACCCGCTACACCATCAACCGTGGGAGAAGTGGGTACTCACCTATTTGTGTCTGCAGGATCGAGCACTGACTCTTGGATCCCGCCTTGGATCCCATCCCTGAGTGTGTGTGTGTGTGTTAGAGAGAAATATATGCAGTAAACATAAGGGAAAATAGATTGGTTAGAAAGGCGGGGTCCAAGAGCTAATAGCTCGATTCTGCGTGGCACAACTAATCAACAGACACCTGGCCAGGACCCACCTGCTGTGTGGACGTATAGTTTTGTGTGTTGCCAGTGGCGAAGGAGGCGTTGTATGAGGTGCCATAGTAGGGGTTCTGGCACGCCTGAGTGCCACTACTGCTGCCGAAGGAGCCGTAGGGAGCCAGGTAGGAGGCCGAGGCGGAGCCCAGAGAGCTGGCAGACCCCAGGGAGCCCGTAGAGCCCAGACAAGAGGACCCGAGGGTGTTAGAGCCCAGGGTACTCTTGCTGCTCTGGTTGAGCCCTCTTGTCGTGCCTATATGAAGAGAACACAAATGAAGATTATTTAGAAAAGATAGGGTGTGCGTGGTGTGGGGGCGGGGTAGGACACCCACAGGGAAGGTACCCCTACTATTGGGGGATAAGACATCCACAGGGGAGGTACCTTACTGTGGGGGGAGGGTAAGACAACAACACTGAGGAGGTAGTCGACAAGACTTACTGAGGAGGTAGTCTGGGCCGTAGGAGTACTGGGAGCTGGGCATGGTGTTGTAGAAGCCTGTAGGCTGCATGTACGAGTTGCCCCCGTAGGCCTGCATGGTGCTGTGGGAGAGAAGGGCAGATGGTGGTGACTGTGGTGGAGGTGATGGTGGTGATGCTACAGGTGGTGTTGATGGTGGTGGTGATGGTGATGCTACAGGTGGTGGTGGTGGTGGTGATGCTACAGGTGGTGGTGTTGATGGTGGTGGTGGTGGTGGTGATGCTATAGGTGGTGGTGACTGTGGTGGAGGTGATGGTGATGCTACAGGTGGTGGTGATGGTGGTGGTGGTGATGCTACAGGTGGTGGTGTTGATGGTGGTGGTGGTGGTGGTGATGCTACAGGTGGTGGTGATGATGGTGGTGATGGTGGTGGTGGTGGTGATGATACAGGTGGTGGTGATGATGGTGGTGGTGATGGTGATGCTACAGGTGGTGGTGGTGATGATGGTGGTGATGGTGGTGGTGGTGGTGATGCTACAGGTGGTGGTGATGGTGGTGGTGGTGATGCTACAGGTGGTGGTGATGGTGGTGGTTGGGGTGGTGATGGTGATGATGGTGGTGACTGTGGTGGAGGTGATGGTGGTGATGCTATAGGTGGTGTTGATGGTGGTGGTGGTGATGGTGGTGGTGGTGATGCTACAGGTGGTGGTGGTGGTGATGCTACAGGTGGTGGTGGTGGTGGTGGTGGTGGTGGTGATGCTACAGATGGTGGTGGTGGTGATGGTGGTGGTGATGCTACAGGTGGTGGTGATGGTGGTTGTGGTGGTGCAGGTGTTGTTGATGGTGGTGACAGTAAAGATGAATAAAGTAACACTGACAGTGCTGGTGATATCGAAGATAACATTTCCACTGAAATAAGTTAAAATCCCCTCACTTGTGTATTAGTGTAACGAGATCTACATCTCAACCAATATCTTGATAAGATGTTGAGATGTAAGTCTCCTCCTCACCACACACTCAGACCTTGACAAAGCACTCAGGAGAGTGTGAAAGACTTGGTGTAAATTCTGTACATATATTTCACAAATAGGCAAGTGTGTGGGTTTTTCTCCTACGTCATTATGTCGTAGGAGAAACGACATAATTCAGAGAGAGAGAGAGAGAGACTGAGAGAGACCCCACCTGGAGTAGAGCTGCTGGAGGTGTGAGGCAGAGAGGTCGTGCTTGTCTGCGACCACCGGGTTATAAGGCGGCAGACCGTCAGCGAACACGTCAGAGGCCGCGGTATTGTCGGGTTCCCCCTTCACTTCTGCAACTGGGAAAATGGAAAGTTGACATGAACCAAAGAAAACGTTGAAACTGCAAACGTACCAAAGAAAATGAGAACATATCTACTTTCATTCCTATAATATTTCTTCTATTTCTTAGGAGGATATTGAATACGTCTGCTACTGAAGAACTATCAATATCATCAACCGGCAAACACTGAAATATCAGGAGGAAGCACCAAGTCATTACGACTATATAGCACTTGGAAGGGGTCAGGATAAGGATTTGGGATGGGACGGTGGGAAGGAATGGTGCCCAACCACTTGGACGATCTCGGGGGATTGAACGCCGACCTGCATAAAGCGAGACCCTCGCTCTACCGTCCAGCCCAAGAGGTTGGGCAGCTAAAATGAAAACAAAAGAACAGCAACAGCCTTCTGACGAAGGGCTCACCATGCAGCGTGTTGTTGTTGTTGTTGTGTGTGAGGGTTGTGGGGGTGAGCCAGGCCGGGTCTATGGCCTGGGCGGGCGGGGGCGCCCCGCTGGTGCTGTTACTGCTGCTGGTGCTGCTGCTGCTGCTGGGGTGGTAGGTGGGAGACACTGACGAGGTGGCCGGCGACGTGGACACCGACCCCGTGCCCATAGACACCCCCCGGCCTAGGCTCACCAGGGGCGCCAATACCTCGCCGCCGCCGCCTCCTGCTCCGCCTCCAGAGCCTTCTGAAGGAGAGGCGCACCCACTGTCGCTCTGACTCGCCGGGGACGACACGGACGGCACGTCACACCTGTGGAAGGAGAGGCACGGGTTAGATGGCACTGTGGCTTGACAATAAAATAGTTGTGCAACAGGTACTCGTAGGAGACAATGCTATGAATATTAAGGGCATAAGACTCTCCAATGGATTCCCTCTAAATATAAAGGATGTTAATGAACACCTTTAAATGGAATCAACTGAGCCAGACTTCTTAAGTCAGACTGTGTGCAGTAACTTCGAACAGTCTAAGCGAATGGCCCATCAACCGGAGAGTTAGTCAGCGCCCGTGCTGAAGGGACACTGGTCTTTCTATCCACCTCAAGATGACCTCGGGGTGAGCTAAGCTGTCCTCACAGAAAAGGCTTCTTTCCCCAACACCTTGTCCCTCCACGACAATATTGTGACAACACAAATCCCCACCCACAGCTCTATAGTTATAATCAACAGTGTTGCATACTGTCCTGAGGCATAACAACATGTGCTCTGTTCTAATTAACAGGATTTTAAGCAGAAACCTCCAAACCATAATAGTAAGCGTGTTTAATTACAGCCAACCAGCCTGCACTCAACCACTGCCGCCCACACCACTTGCACCGTAAATAAGAGCGGGCAAACCGCCAGCCTCTCGAAAACTAAGAGTTCCTGACCTTACAAGTACAGGTTGTTCACTTAGAGCAACCACAACCACACCTCGGGTAACCTTCACTGCACTCACTAAGTCACACTAACGGGGCACACAATTAGACACCCAGCACACACATCTCAAAATAGAGGGAAGTGACGACGTTTCGGTCCTGTTTGATACTTGTTTGATGGAGTTCTGAGAGTTCTTTTACTCTCCAAGTTCTTTTACTCCCCAAGCCCGGCCCGAGGCCAGGCTTGACGTGTGAGAGCTTGGTCCAACAGGCTGTTGCTTGTCGCGGCCCTCAGGCCCACGTATCCACCACAGCCCGGTTGGTCCGGCACTTTTGGATAGCAGGAGCAGCAGCAGAAACAGGAGCAGCATCAGCAGCAGCAGTAGCAGCAGAAGCAGCAAGAACAGCAGCAAAAGTAACAGCTGGAGCAGAACAATGCTAGAGGATAACGTGAGAATCCCAAAGGTTATCACAGGGCATCTACCACAGTGATAATCCCTAGTACGCCCCTGCTCCCCTCTGGGGGACGCCCCCTCCCCACAAGGGGAAGGGGCTCAAGCTAGACCATAGATAGCAGGGGGGGGGGATAGCCAGATATCACTAAGGATAGCTAGACCATAGATAGCAGGGAGTATCCAAACTAGGGGGGGGGGGGTCACACAAATACCAGGCAGCTTATTAGTATTATTATTGACATCTTTATTGACAAAATTAATTACAATTGTGCCTAATCTGAGGATTTCAATTAAGCTTCCCAACAATCGTAATTGGGAGGATGCACACTCACGCCAGAGTGAGGTACCATACCCAGGCACAAACTAGTGGGACGAGCCCATGGACAGCGCCGGGAATCGGACCACAGGACTACGTATCCAGCGTGCTGTCCACTCAGCCACCAGCACCCCATGTGTGTGTGTGTGTGTGTGTGTGTGTGTGGGTGTGTGTGTGGGTGTGTGTGTGTGTGTGTGTGTCTGTGTGTGTGTGTGTGTGTGTGTGTGTGTGTGTGTGTGTGTGAATGAATGAGAGCGAGAGAAAGAGAGAAAAAAAAGACAGAGACAGAGAATATATATATATATATATATATATATATGTGGTACCTAATAGCCAGAACGCACTTCTCAGCCTACTATTCAAGGCCCGATTTGCCTAATAAGCCAAGTTTTCATGAATTAATGTTTTTTCGTCTACCTAACCTACCTAACCTAACCTAACCTAGCTTTTTCTGGCTACCTAACCTAACCTTACCTATAAATATAGGTTAGGTTAGGTTAGGTAGGGTTGGTTAGGTTCGGTCATATATCTACGTTAATTTTAACTCCAATAAAATAAAATTGACCTCATACATAGAGAAAAGGGTTGCTTTATCATTTCATAAGAAAAAAATTATAGTAAATATATTAATTCAGGAAAACTTGGCTTACTAGGCAAATCTGGCCTTGAATAGTAGGCTGAGAAGCGAGTTCTGGCTACTAGGTACGACATATATATATATATATATATATATATATATATATATATATATATATATATATATATATATATATATATATATATATATATATATATATATATATATATATATATATATATATATATATATATATATACATATATATATATTTATATACATATATATATATATATATATATATATATATATATATATACATACATATATATATATATATATATATATATATATATATATATATATATATATATATATATATATATATATATATGTATACATACACACATATATATATATATATATATATATATATATATATATATATACATATATATACATATATATATATATGTCGTACCTAGTAGCCAGAACTCACTTCTCAGCCTACTATGCAAGGCCCGATTTGCCTAATAAGCCTAGTTTT